TCTTTCTATTCGCTATCTAGTTCGTTTTATTGATAAGTAGTTGTACTTCCCAGTTCATTTATGTTATCCAATCCTTCATTGCATAATGTCAGGACGTCTATAGAATAGTTATTTGAATTCGTCGCATTCGTCTATTTGAACATTAATGGTATTGGAAGACTGGAAGACTATGTTCTGATAAAATATTTGTGCATGTAAAATTATTTCGTTTTCTCTATATGTTGAAATTGCATACAAACCATTAAGGTTCATGGTTGCATAGCAAAACAATGGAAGATTGATTGTTATCAGATGCAATTTATTCAATCTATTTTACACCACAATGAATATTATTGTGGTTTCCTATAAGGAACACACCGAGAATTCAAATAAGTTTTGTTTCTTGAGGTATTCTCATCTCTCTATCCACATTGTACATTATCCATTGTTTTCAAACTGCATCTTTAATTCCACCATTACTTTATTGTATGGGACTATCGTCTAGGATCTACATAATGTCTGTACTATTCAAATATTAACATACCGGCATTTTGCTTTGAGCCTTTTGTGTGACGTCATCCGAATGCCTTCCCTTACAGCAAAAAAGACTGGATATAAAAACACACATACAATTCGTTCGCTTATTGATATTGCTGCTCCAGCAATCATTAAGCCCAAATTGTCTCTGAGTAAAGCAATGTTTACTAAAAAGACAATCAATTCTTGGAAACAAAACAAATAACCGATTGATTTGAAATTCAAATTCATTTACAAATCATTTCAATCTAATAGACCGAATGAGTTCGACAAATTCAAACCTAGATCTGATGCAGAGACGTTAATAACTAGCAAAGCAGGAAATTAGAGCAAATAGACTATTGGCACAAAGGAAATGACACTACCCGTTCCTATTATGAAGAGAAAATTGTTTGTAATCGAATTGCTGACTGGAAATTTGTCAACTTCGTAGTATTCTGTTTCAAAATTCGAAGTACCAATTAATTCAAACACAGTCGAAACAATTTAGATTTGATTATAACAAAATTCGTAACAAAAATTTCGAAATTGAATTAGAACAGCCACCCCGAATAACTCACAGAAACAGAACAAAACTCCAAGTTTGTTTAATGAAAATAGATAAAATACTACGTACAGACGGAAAAGATATAAATTCTGGTGAATTTGCAACACAAATCGCACTGCAGTGTCTAGTGCAGAGCTTTTTGTGTGCGGGTTAAAAGAAACCAACTTATTAGCATATTCCATAGATTTCCACCCCCACACTGCGGTTGGTGGACATAATACATTACAATATAACAAAAGCAGTCTTCAAAGACAGCACATTACCGATTAAAACACAGTAACAAGCGATTTATCGTAGAAAATGTTTTATATCATTATGGTTGGACGCTGTGCGATGTTCTGTTGCGATTCCCACTGAGTCACTGAATGGTATCACTGTAACAGTTAACTAATAACACTTATTGGTACACTATAGCACTAATGTTATTCACGTTAGGTTGATTGTTAAGGTTTTGTGGTTTTTTGTTGTGTGTCTGTGGGGAGCGGGGACGCGACGCGCGTGCGTGCGCGGCAACAACGCGCACTCGACTGACTCAAAGTACCTACCCCTGGCTAGGGTTTTCGTCCCGGCCGGCGAACAGACGTTCCGTTATACGGGGTATATTGATTGGTGTAAAGGTTTCATAACAAGACTACTTTTGAGTTTTGTCCGTTCTCAGAATTACTTTATTATCGTGATTGTAATTTTATTTCTAGTGGTGACAATACTAAGGGATGCTAATGTTAAATGAAACAAGTAATTAAATTAAAATAATCACTTTTACGCATTCATTAAGTGTGAATTCTAAGTTTTAAGTATAACTTTATAATAAACTTTTGAATAGTGAAATAGTTTGCTTCATTATGTAGCTAACCTTTTGTTTCCTTAAAACAAAATAAGTTAATTCTATTTATCTGTTATGCAACAAAAATTTAGTAATTTTTGTTAAAACAATGATTGCTTCTGAGTTCCTCTGTTTCATTTAGCATTATCCATAATTATTTTCAAACAATTGACAACTAGAATTCCTGTTAATCTGACTACATTAACTTATTTTTAGATCACCCGCTATTTTTGGGAACACAAAACGTCAAATCGCCTCTCTTCTACGTGAAACGTAACGTGTATAAACAAGGGCAGAAATGTTGCTGTCTCTTTCCCACCATCATTTACAAAAGGTGACAGAGTGGTGCGTGTCCCTACCCTGCAACTACCCTTCTCAATACGTGTCACATGGCTAGCGTAACATGAACTCTATAGCGGAACGTTTTAGTTAGTTTTAAAGGTCTCTGTTTAATTGGTAGTATAGGGTTACGAATTTAGGGCTAACAAATTAGAAAGGGGAAGAAAAAATGTACCAATGTCAGGTTTATTGACATTTTGCAGGGCTATAATTAAGGTTTAGCGAGGGTCCGAGTTGTTATCGACACACCGTTAAATTTTAAAAGTCGGATTTTCTCAGCAATTAATTCTTTTAATTAGCTATCAAGGAAAATGTGTGCGTTAATGTGTTTTTAAGGAAATTACTTTTTTTGATGTCAATTAAAATGTTTTTCGTAAATAATTAATTTTATTTGTTTTGATTTTTTTCTGGTGGTGTTATTCTTTCATTGAACAGTTTATAGTAGGACATTTTTGGTATTATATGTAATTTAAATAATTTCTGCTTAACTCTAATAGGTATTTTTATATATGTGAATGTGACAGACACTTATATTTCCATTTTCAAATTTAACGTGATGAGACTGATAACTTTAAATATGCAAATATACGTTAAAATCAAAAGCAGTTTAAACATGACATTATAATAAACTCAAAAAAAATCGGTGCCTAAAAAAATAAAAGAAAAAACTTAATAGATTAAAAATAGAATCCTCTTTTTTTTAAACAAAACCATCTTCTATACAGTAGCGGCATCTATATTTAACCGTGTAACGCTCCCTAAACATAGTGAAAGTTTTTAAAAAAAAATTTAAAAAAAGTTTTTAAAAAAATAAAATAAAAAACTTAATAGATTAAAAATAGAATCCTCTTTTTTTAAACAAAACCATCTTCTAGACAGTAGCGGCATCTATATTTAACCGTGTAACGCTCACTAAACATAGTGAAAGTTACTGCACAACGTAGCCCAACTTAACACACAGCAACAGTCAGTGGTTTAACTTTATACTTAGTTACTTCTAAGTTGAATCGACAGATGTCACTGTTGAATATTTAAAGAAAATGGTACGATGGATGTGGTAATATATTTCGGGTAATAGTTTCATACAAGGGGTCCTTTCACAGAATGTCATATGCTTGGATCTTCTATGCCAGGCAAATAATTATTTATTATAGTGTACTGATCAATCCCTAAGTCAATCCACTAACTCCATTTAAGACCTTATTTCCGATATTTAGAGACTAATTTTGTGTAAAAAAATTTGGGATTTATATCAAATTAGAATTAAAGTAAGAAGTAGGTATATACAATAAAATATAGTAATGCATTTGTTTTGTCACTTCGATTCTCGGATGGAGCACTATATTATGAACCTTTTTCGGATTTTTGGTAATTTTTGTACTATCTCAAATTATCAAGATGGTGAATGCACGGTTTTATATTTTAGCTACGAACCACACAAAACAAAAGAAAAAAAAACAAAACAAAAAATATAATTTCAAATATTTATTTTTGAAACTTATCGTATAAAAGGGACGCTACACAATTGTTACCACATATCACTTATAATAATTAAGTCTATGTATGTATGTATAAAACACCTTATTTATTAATACAAAATTTCGCTAAAACTGACTGGTTTCCTTAGCATAGCAATTATTTTATTTATAATAATTATTATTTTCAAGAGAGTTTCCTCTCATTCACCCACCGACAATAATAAAGTACAAAATTGTAATATACTTTAATATTATTTTGTAAAAATATCACTCCCATCACACACGTAAATTGTAAATTAATCTCAACGATGTTACATAATATTTACAACATATAAGTAATACTTATATTAGTAATCACTGTTATAAGGGTACTTGATTTTTTGTAATCTTCCAGCAAAAAAAAAAAAAATAATCAACCAAGTTTAAAAAATAAGAAAAAGAATATCCAGTTCTATTTCTTGGATTTGTAAAAAGTACATATTTATCAATTGCTTGTACTTTGATAAACAAAAAATAAATTATTTTTTTATGTACAGCTATTGTTACTTATAACTAAATAAAGCTTAGTATTGGACGGAAGTACAGTAACTAATGCCTTTTAGGCTAGTCTTTTAGTATATAACATTTTGTGAGCAATTAATTTTCACGAAAAGAAGAAGAATTTTTATAATTAATTGAGCAACAACAGCCTCATTTCGATGTTTTTTTTTATAATTTCAAGACTTTTTACTTATAAGTTAACTTATTAATTATAAGTTCACTCATGAGGTAGTTTTAACATTAAACTGTTAACAAAAAATAAAAATAAAGAGCAAAGAAAAATATTTTACAAATTTTGTTGGTAAAATAGCTATCGAAACTTATTTACAAAAAGGAAGGTATTAAGTTTTTATAAATCAATTAGGACGCACCGTTTTACTTTTAAAATATACATAGCTCACATGAATAATTGTTTATACACTGGTTCTAACTGTACAATATTATTTTGTTCAGAGGTTTGAAAATACTAATAAGTCTTGTCTTAGAAACGAATGGAGCAGTAGTTTATTACGAGTACTTAGTTTTTGTCACGGTTTATATTTTTATGTTTAGTCGGCCGCCATGACGTCGAACGTGATGGTGGTTCAGATTGAAAGCTACACGTAACGCCTACTTAGAGAAGTTATACTTTCTCTAATCATCGACTTACTTTTTTTCTATAAGAAGGGTTCTATAAAAACTCAAGTATCTCCGACTCTCCAAACAAATTGATATAGGTATAAAAAGCATACAATGTTACCTAGCAACATGGTGTAGGCTATTGCACTTTTTCCTTATCTGTAACATCGTGTATCACGTGACCGTTCGTGTAACCATTTTGCAAATGACCATTTAGTTTCACTCGTCCATTGGCTTCATGATTTAGAAAACCATTCAGGTCTCCGTTTTTAAGGTGTCCATTTAAGTCACCGTTTTTGATGTGTCCATTAAGTTCATTTTTGAGGTGTCCGTTCAGATCCCCATTTCTTAATGTCGTGTGTAGGTCACCATTTCTGATGTGTCCATTGAGACCTCCGTTTTGAATATGTCCATTGAGACCATTTTTGAGATGTCCATTGGTCTCAGTTTTGATCATACCATTTGGTAGGAGAGTCTCGTCGTTGTTATTATTGTTGATGGCTACAGCGGTAGGTTTCTGTCTCGGTTTTTCTTTCTTGTATGCTTGCATGTAGAAGTTCATGAAAAGAACTATGAAGATGGTCGAGTGTAAGATTAAACCTCCGGCGATGAATCTGGAATCAAGTAAATACATTTAATAGCAGAAACAAAAGTACATGATCGAAATGAAAATTATCTTGTTTAGGATCCTTGTCTTATTCGTTTTAAATGTCGTCTTTAATCATTTTAAAGTCAATAACTACCTTTTGAGCAATCAGATAAAAACTTAAATTTTGTGAGATGTCATATTATTACTATTTATAGATTTTTCGGTTCTTTAGGAATAAATAAGTACTTTTAAAACCAGGCAGACACCGAACCTTCGTTTGCCACCATTTTCATCACAACTGTTATACTTATAGTATTTCTTCAGACAAATCTACGATTTACATTTCATTTTGCAACCATCGATGTTGCGTGCAAAGGGGAGCGTGATCTAAACGCGAGTGCATTTCCAAATGCATTTCGTGCAAACTGCCTCGGAAGAACAGAAGCGAAGAAAAAATCAATTCTTGCATCAAAATCGTGCTTTGATGACTAAATCAGAATTCATGGAGATGAAATAGATATGACTACATAGTTTCTGCTCATTGCGCATGATTCCATGTTGCGTAGTTTGATGCTAACATTAGGTACTGGTAGGGTTTTGCCTAGCTTGGGCAATTCCTGTCCTTTTGTTTTGAGTGTTGCAAGATGCTTCTACATTAGTCCTATATCTTCCTTTTGGCTACAATTTTATCTATTTCAAATTGTAGTCTTGAGAGTTCTTTACCACGTGTATAAGTTTATAAATAATCTTCCAACTGGATTTCGTCTAAGTTTAGTTTGCAATCAACCTCTTTTATAGATAAGTTACTTACTTAGGATAACCACAGTCGTAAACCAAAGCGCTGATTGAATGGAAGAGCACCATGAAGAATTGGACCTGTAAATTAGAAAAAAATGTGTTTTGAGTATTCATTTATTTAATAACTTGTTGGAGTTAAGAATTGGAAATTATTGGCCTCGACCTGGCCCGGTTTCATACGGGTGCAATATGCATGTATTATACATATAAACCGTCCTTAAGAATCACTCTATCTTTAAAAAAAAAACGCATCAAAATCCATTGCGTAGTTTTAAAGATCTAAGCATACATAGGGACAGACAGAAGGCGGATAGCGACTTTGTTTTATACTATGTAGTGATAGATAATTATATTTAAAACTGCTGAAACGAAAAACAACGACGTTTTTATTTTTAAAACATTAATAAGAGAATCTAATCGCCCTAAATTTAGAGAAACCTAATGATTTAGTGGCTTCGTCACGCTCGTGCCCTTTTTGGATAAGCAGCAATGGAGATAGAACGCGTTATGTTAATACCCTTATTAAGATTCGGATATTATACACATGTAGATTTAATTTGTTATAAAAAGATGAACATACGATTGTCTTGTAAAGAAAAGAGTTCCGTACAAGAAATATTATTTTAATTGTTTTAAAAAATCAGTATACTTAGAATATGCAACACAATACTTTTGTCGACAAACCTCACATGTGTAATCAGTTTCAAAATTGTAATTGTAATTTTCTTGGACATAAAGTTATTTTCCTAATATTAAAACATTTTTATATAATTTTATACCAAATTTATTAGATTCTTGTTTAACAAATTATGAATAGAATAGAATAATTTATTTGCATTGAATGTAGGCACATAATATAAGGTCTTACAAAGGTATATCGTTCCTGGTACATTCTACCATATGGCATCCAAAAATTTTTTTAAATCTTTTAAGCTATGAACATAGTGGACTATAATACTTTTTAAGTTATCTAGAAAACTATTGTAATTATTAATGGATAACGTAAACCTAATAATATTTGAAAATTTATAACATAAAATATAGCTAAAACAACTTACAGCAAATCAGTCTATATGTTATCCAATAAAATATCTGACACAGATTAGTAACAATTTTGTATTAACAAAGATGAAGATACACTCTTGTAGATAAACAATTATGTTTGTCTGTATGTTTCAATAAAGGGTTCCTATTGGGATTGTTGGGTCCCTAAAAAGTGGAGAAAGTTCTCGAACTTTCCCTTGTGAATGTGTTTCATGATTCATGAGTCGTTTCGGTTACTTTCATATAGGTAGGTAAAGGGTTTTCCAAGAACTTGATAATTCCAAATATTTTTTTCGTTTGCAACTGTAATTTGATTTTAATGAAGAAATTGGAATCATCGAAGATGTTGTTTTTTTTTAATTTCATTGTAAATTGTACGATTGTTAATGTATGAAATTACTTTTGTAATTGTGTAACGTTAAGTTGGTGTATTTTTGTCATAAATTTTTATCAAATGTCGTTGTTTGATACAACAATATAACATTAACCTTATGACGCAGCTATAATAAGGGCTATTTTTGCAATTTAAGGAATAATTGTACTGTAATAGTTATATATTGACTAAAAACAATTGCAATTGCGAACTTTATGATGTAAGATTTAAAGGTCTTTTAAAGTCACCTTCGTGAAAAATGTAGGAAAAGATTACATTTAATTATAGATAACAATTTGTGAATAAAGTTTGTTGATACCAAATGTAATGGTTCGATGTTTGTCAGCTGTGAGCACGCGATTTCCTCATTAGCATGTTTTTGTAGTACTATAAGGAACAACGTAAATAAGCATTTTTATATAAGTTTTGGGAAAATCTGTATTACTTAAACGGTGCGTCACACTTAAAATTTGGAAAACCGTAAAATGATGTTATATTTTACATTCTGAATGATATCAGACCACCACAGATGGGGCCCAACAGGGCTGATGCCGGGTACGGAGCCCGGACGACTTAACAGGTTGCTGGGACGCCGTCTCGAAGTGCAGGAGTAGGATCGAGGGTCAACAAGAGTCGGACACTTGCCTGGTTTCTGAATTTACGTTCGCTCTGTGACAGTGTTTTTATGTATGTGTGCTATGTAACAGTAACAGGCTTCCTATTAGATGGAACTAAATTCTATAAGAATTGTGCCTTCTAACTACTATTTATCTAGATTAAAATATTGTATTTCAAAGCATCCTTACTTACAAGAGTTCTCTACATTCATATACTATGAATAAACTTTAGTAATGTATTATTTTAATTCAGCGAAGTACGATTTAGCTTCTCAAAACCTATTTAAACTGCAACTCAAGATGGCTGACACTCCTGACAGCTAAGGTACTTGCGTTAATTTAAGTGTAGAACATTTTATAGAACGTGTGTTTGCTAACGGAGAAAGGATACGGCGTTCCGCTGGTCCGTGTTGTAACTGTGGCTAAATGTTGCCCCCGCACGCTTGGGTAGGACTGCGTGGAATATTTTGCTATAGGTACTCGTTTACTGATTTGTTTTTGTTAAGGATTTACTTATTAAGGATGGTTTTGGTTTACGTATTTAAAATTGGAATTTATGCCTTGACTGCGTCGTTGGCCGCGTGGTTGCAAGTGGGACTGTCGGGCAAGGGGTCTCGGGTTCAATTTTCGGGTGAGTAAAGTATTACTGGGTTTTTAAAAAAAATCTCAGTAGTAGCACGGAGTCTGGAATTGTGCCCGGTATAATGACAATAGGCTCACCCCCTATTACATGCCTCATAACATTAATACTGAAAAGTGTGTGTTAAATTGTACAGTGGCATTAAGCGCCGTAATGTGCACCTCCTCCACCTTCAGGGATAAAAGGCGTAATGTTATGTATATTTTTTTCTATCTTTAAATAAGACTTCCAAGTTTGTAACTTTCCAATTTTGTTTAAAAAAAACATGTGTTTCTATTGTCGTTGTGAGAGAAGACTGCCAAAAAGTAATAAATAAAAATAAAAATTAAATTCAGGTTAACTGATTTTACCAGTAAAAAAATGGTCCCGAAATAAAAAATACGTAGGTTGAAGTACACATTGAAATTAGCATTTATTAAGCACTTGAAGTAAAATATGTAAATAAATATAGTTCAAATAAATAAGTTTCAAAACTACGCAGTATGCCAGTGTCGTGCGTGGTATATCCTATCGTTTGCGCAAACGCGGCTCGGACGATAGGAATGCTGCAAGGCGCGGTGCGATCCTTATTGGTGGTTCCACGTTAGCCGCGGAAGTATTTGCGGTAAAACATAGTACAATGTTATAGATCTTAAAGAGCTGGTTTTTGCTTTAGTATAATTATTTGGCGAAATATTGTTTAGGTACGTCGTCACACGAGGTATATTTGACAAGATTAAGAAAAATCTTTTTCCTTTTATTGTTTAAACACCATAGCTTTCTTTCTTTCCAGATTAATGTATTGAATTTCTTCAATTCTTCTTCTTTTTTAAAAACGTTGCCCCACACTCGGATTTGTTCCTATGTGTTTACAAATATATAAGTTCACATACACATGACACCCAGACCCGAAACAACAATTTATGGATCACTCAAAGAGTTTCTTCGTGCGGGAATCGACGCGACGCGTTGCGCTGCAGCCGGTTGCCAAGTCACCGCATCTACCGTACCGTCAGAACTCCAGGTAGAAAGGAAAAGTACAAGGTGGTAACCGAATCATTTTTGTTAAAAATGCTAGCTACCTAGTTACCTATCTAAATTAACTACTAACACTTGCGAATATGTAAATCCGTTTAATAACAACGCAACTTTAATAAGTAATGGCAGTATATGCCTTATGTACCTAATAATTAGGTAGATTTTAATAGTTCGATAAAAAATAAATGACTACATTCACCATTGAGTTACTTATGTATATATGAATAAGGTAAGGTAACAATGCTATGGTTATTTAAATGTGCATTTGCTGTTTATAATTGCTATAAAATGCAATTCATATGTGGAATAATTTCTAGTAATTAGCTATTTTACTGTTTTGCAAATCGTTTTGCTAGCAATAAATGAATGAGTTTCTTGTTGAATACAAATAAAGATAACTTTATTCGTTTCGTGATTGTTGGCTGGTAAATATGTAGTTTCAGATTATATTAGGATAACATTGCCGAAAATATCGCATTCTATTATTGCGAGGTTCATCTTGATTAGAAATATTGAATCTACTGTTTTAAGGAGTCATTAGAACATTTTTAGGACTATAAATTATATTATTTACAACTACTTCTTGTCGTACAAAATTCTTAAGTATTTTTTATTTTAGCAAGTTTTGTAATTAGTATAATACGTCAAGCGTGTCTTTGCATTGTTCTCACATATACGTACAGTATTGGAATATGTATCAGAGACATTGTAGAACATACTTTTTTAAAAAGAGTAACGAAATGAGTTTCTTGCTCGTTCTTCTCCATTCGAATCTACATTTTGGAATGAGCACCTAGCTTCACCTAGCTTCACTGACGGACTGACTGACAGATTGTTATTTATTTTGTATTTTTTTTTGACGTTTCAAAAGTACCAAATTATGGTTTAATTGAAATAAATGCTATGACTTTGACTTTGATAATTTCATGGAATATGTCTTACATTTACTTACACCGCAACGGAGTATTTTTAAGTGACTCAAAAAAGAGGTTCTTTGTTTGACCTCATTATCTTATGATTGGCTGACCAGATTTTAATGCGGTTTTCACAAAAGTGTTTGTTACACTCAGGAGAAGGTTTCAATATACACTTCAAAAAAGGGGAGGTTGAAGTGGGTTATTTTTAAGTGTAGTTTATAAAGCAATTATTACGTCAAGATTTCTATGTCTTGACTTTTGACATGAGGGTTGGAGAGCTTGTTTTGGCGCAAAGCCAGCATTAAAGAATCCCTATACGTTGATTTACTAAATGAAACGGTTAATTGTGAAATGTTTTAAGAGAGCCAGTGTAATGTTCGTGCCAGTAATTGTTGAGGTAACAGCTAAGTAGACCGTGCGGGGACTTATCTAGATAACTAAGTGTAGGTTTGATGCCAGGTTCCATACTAGTTTAGGTGAAATGTTGTAAGATGTTTGGAAAAACTGTTTGTTAAATGGAAAACTGTAATTTATATGTAGGTAGCGCTAACGAGAATTATTAGATTCTGTATAAAAACTGTCTTGTTCTTTGGGAAACTATAATCTCTGCTACAAATTATATTCATCAGTTCATTCAATTAGTGTCGCCTACCAGTAAGACTGTTTTATTGAGGAAAAGTACTTTTGGGATGGCGCCGGATATTTTTAACCACATTCCTAGTTCAATAAAAAAAGAACCAATGACAATTTTTAAAAAAGAAACTTGCATCACTCTTCTTAAACATGTGTTGTTACTCTGTGTCTGATTATTTAGCTGGTAATTGTAACTAGGTGTGATGATGAACCTGCATCAATATTTGCATGCCAAAATAGAAGAATGTACAAGGATACTTCATTAGTGTTTTAATATCACCTCATTGTATATTTATTTACTTACTTACTTACATTTACCATTACAGGATGACCCAATGCGATAAAGGCGAACTATTTAATCCTAACTTATTACTTATAACTAATTACAAACAAAGCATTCCTTGTGAATTCACTCAGAGAACAGTAAAGTAATCCGTCTCACTCGCTATGAGGTTGAGCGTGCGGAGCGTACGCGTCAGCGGTGCCTCCTTCAGAAGGTTAGTCCGAAAACGCATAAATACATGCATTCTGAGCAAATAAATAATTATTCTATTCTACTCATTATAACGAAAAAAGTCATGACGAGAAATCATGAACTAGGATCAAATCTTTCGCTTCATGCTCTGTGGTAATACTAAACTATCTCCATGTAAAATTATTTTTAAGTAAATTAGTCTACATTGGTACTTACTAGTTGCAGGGTAGTGAGGTGCTTCTTCCACCACAGGTATTTCTGGTACTGAGGTCCCATCGCGGCCAACATGTAGTAGCTGTACATGATCACGTGCACCAGGTTGTTCACGATGTTCGAGAATGTTCCATGACCACCTAGAATATGATGAGAAGGGGTATCAGTTTAACTGTATACTGTAGATAATAAATAAGGGACACCACGTGTCTTCTGGAAAACACCAACAGCGAAAGTGTAATATTGTAACACTACATACGTAGGATTGATTCCAGATTGATTGAATCCCAGGATTGATCCAAATCAAACCAAGTGTCCTCAAGAATTTCCAATACGAAAGGGCACTGAGTAAAATAAGTGCCCTTCTGTTTTCTGGCGGCAGTCAATAATAATATAAGAACTAGTCGCAAGTGCGACTGCCGGACGAGCGGTCTCGGGTTCGATTTCCGGGTTGGTCAAAGTATTACTGGGTTTTTAAAAAAATCTCAGTAGGTAGTAGCAAGGAGTCTGGAAATGTGCCCGGTATATGGCAATAGGTTCTCCCCTTATTACATGGGACTCATAACATAAGTAGTGAAAAGTGGGTGTTACATTGTACGGTTGCATAATGTGCACCTCTGCCTACCCCTTCGAAAATAAAAGACGTAATGTTATGTTATGTTAACTAGTTTGAGATAATTAACGATATCTGCCAACTAGTTCTTGGTGAAAACGTCTGTACAATAATTATATCCATAGTAAAAGCAAAAAAGTTATTATACCATAAATACATGAATTTATTACAAAAAAAAAGCATAGGGTAAACTCATCTAACTTCTTGACAAAAGCATTTGAGTAATAAAATACCAATAAATTATTAATTAATTTAATTCAGTCTCCGCATGAGTTTTAATCAGTCTTTTATGAGGAATATTAGCACAAATAATCAGATTTTTTTCTAGAAACCTAAGAGTTCTACCAAATTTACTAAACCGAATTATTAGGCGAGTCACAGAATTAGATGAGTTCACTATAATCAGAATCCCAATAAACACAGTCGCGTGTAAAACAGTAGTACATTATAGCGAAAACGATCATGAATCATTAACATTGCTCTTGCTTATTGTAAAGAGATATAATCGGACTTTACGATGTCTTTTCCTGTAACCTTTGTGAAGGAGATATTGAATAATACCCATTGATGGAGACGTTGTTGAAATTACAACACTTGAAATTACTGTGTTTTATAATGGTCATATTTTGCAATGCAACTTTTATAAGATTTTTTTTTGAAGAATGAGTAAGACTGAAGACTGCATCTTATGGTGTATAGTTGGTAAGTGTAGTTATTGCTGAGATTTTTTTATAATACTGAAAAAACTTTGCCTGGTCGTGGCATTGAATACAGAAAAAATGGTAAAATCAAATAAAGAAATTTCGGGTTCGATTCACGGGTAGGGCAAAGTACTACTAGGATTTAAAAAAATTCTCAGTAGTAGCACGGAGTCTGGAACTGTGCCCGATATATGGCCATAGGCTCACCCCTATTACATGGGACTCACAACATAAATAGTGAAAAGTGGGTGTTACATTGTACAGTGGTATAATGTGCACCTCTGTTTACGCATTCGAGGATAAAAGGCGTGATGTTATGTTATGGTATCAAATAAAGAATGTTAGTTGAATGAAAAACGATATTCGAAAGTTTATAATTAAAACAATCGTTGATCAGTCACTTATTTTGGAACTAATCAATTGTTGGTACAACACTAATGATATCGATTTGTTAAAACCAACAAAGTATAAGTTATAAGTGAAACCTCTCTATGAATGACAGCAAAATCCATCAAATACTAACTTCTACTGTTATCAATTTGGTTCCGTATGTTCCACTTACATTTGACCTTGATTTATTTCCCACTTCACTGAGCCTAAGATGTTTTCACTTTTCTTTGGTAATGGAGTTTAGAATTCTCGACGATTTGTGATTTTTTACCAATGACCCTAGTATGTAGTTTTATCGGGAGATATAGAGAATAGTAGATTTTATTATACTAATAATGCATAGCTGACTGCCTTGCTGGCCGAGTGGTCGCAAGTGCGACTGCCCAACAAGGGGTCTCGGGGTCGATTCCCGGGTCGGGCAAAGTTTTACTGGGTTTTAAAAAAATTGACAGTAGTAGCACGGAGTCTGGAATTGTGCCCGGTATATGGCAATAGGCTCACCCCCTATTACATGGGACTCATAACATAAATAGTGAAAAGTGGGTATTACATTGCATATTAGCATAATGTGCACCTCCGCCTACCCCTTCGGGGATAAAAGGCGTGATGTTATGCATAGCTTAAAGCAAGTCCTTATTTGTATACATATAATGGCCGCTGGTCTATGCATTCAAGGTTTTCTAAGCTAAGTAAAACTTAAAATCATTTCTTGGGACCCCACTAGACACTACTGACTCTCGAAATTAGAATCTCAAGAACCACATCTAGGACTACAATTCTAATAAAGTAGTTGATGCGGACGAATTTTTCGATGCTTTGTGTAAATAGATGTTTTTAGTTTTCTTTTATTTAATTTCTATCTTAAGTTGTATATATTTAGTAATAGTTAGTTTTATTTTATTTAACTTTGTATATTAATAAAATTGCATCTTGTCACGATTCTAATAGAATAACTTACCAGCAATGAACTTGACAAGCAGCCACGCTTCGAAGGGGGTCAGCGAGTGGTGGTAGAGATGCAGCCACGTGATCTGACTCTTCTTCTTACGGAGCACGAAGAACACCGTATCTGCAAACTCCGACAGCTTCGAGAAGTAGTACACCCAGCAGAGATGTAACATCTGTAGAATGAAAGAAAACATCTTTAGATATAAGACAAATAATTAAAATCGATGCATTTAAGGGTCACTTTGACGCCATACCTATTGATGTTGCTATTATTATTATATAACTATATTTAATTGTGGGAAGCCATGCTTCGGCACGAATGGACCGGCTCGACCGCAGTGATATCACGGCCTCACAGAAGACCGACGTGAAACAACGCTTGAGTTGTGTTTCGTCGTGTGATTTAGGTTACCGGAGACCAAATTACCCCTGCCCACCTTTCCCAATCCCTGAATACCCAACAATCCTCAAATTCCTATTCCCAAAAGGCCGGTAACGCACTTGCAATGTCTCTGGTGCTCCAGGTGTCAATGGGCGATGCCGATTGCTTACCATCAGGTGATCCGCATGCTAGTGTATCGGTTTATACCATAAAAAAATTACAAGTCCAAGAACATTATTATAGCATGTATGTAAACAAACGAATTATCTCTAGCGCATAACAAATAGTTGCAATTGTAGCTACATGAAAACCTTAGTAAATAAATTGGACACTTTACACGTCTTTTTTTATTAATAAAAACTTGAATGAAAGTAGTATATTTTTTTGTTTCACAAACTGTAACAAAACTCTCTCATCCCACCAGGCACCACCATACCGACGTAAGGTATCTTAAATTCATAATTATGAGCCTTTTATGGAGCTGATAATTCGAAGGTATGCGTTTAAACCGGAATTTCCCGTTCGTTGATTGCTTTTCTCATAATCTGAGCTTTCTTTTTATTATTACGATATGTTACGTGTACTTATTTGTGCTTTTTACATTGCGACTCCATCTTTGTTTTGTAATTTAGATGTGAATTTGTAAAAAGTCTTAAAAAAACTAAATAGGTATACTTATTAAACATTTACAAAATAATTCTGAAACTAGCCAAATAAGTAGGTACTAAATTAGTGTAGTGGTAGTATAAAATTGCTAAATTATTTAAGCACACTCTAATAATGAATTCCACTCACTCTCAGTCAATCAAAAGAAGAAGTCACTGTGCTTCTTTAAACATTATTAGGTTCTAATTAAATTAGAAGCTAAAAATACCTTTTCAAATGCAATTTTATTCTAAGAAGTAAAAATATGTTCATTAAAATAATACGGCTTTCTTCAAACCACCAAAACACCATACCGTACATAAAACGTACGAAGCGCCAACTTATACCATCGCACTTGACCGTTCAAGTGAACTTGTTTGCTACAGCTGTGCAAGTGAACTTGCTTCCTACAACGAGCCAGTGAAAGCCGAGTCAGCTGATATTACATCACTACAGTATGAAAGTGAAACTGACATTGCGTCTTGTGACTTGAGCCCGTTTTTTATAAGCTTTTATTGATGACAAAATTATTGTGTTAAAATGTACGTGTTTTAAAATTTGTACGACATTCTTGTGGGTAATTTTTGTGCGTGGATTTTTTGTGAAAGGGATTTTTGGAGGATTTTGACTTTGTATGAATTATTATTGTTTCATATTTGAGTGTAAGCTTTTTATTTTTTGAGAAAGAGTCATTTTGCATTGTGTTATTGTGTTTTTTTTTGGTTTTATGGTTGTTTTACGAGCAGAAATTCTCCAAGCTTGAGACATATTATGTACCTATATTGCAAATTTGACGTACTCAGTTTTTTTTTTTTTTGTAAAACGTTGCCCCACTTTAGGATTTTCTACTATGTCGTGGGTGCGTTTACAAACATACAAGTTCACATACACAATGACACCCAGACCCGAAACAACAATTTGTGGATCACACAAAGTGTTGTTCCGTGCGGGAATCGAACCCGCGACACGTTGCACGGCAGCCGGTTGCCCAGCCACCGCACCAACCGTGCAGTCAAAAAGTTTGTCTCCTGGTTTGAAAAAAGAAAGTTAAGGTTTTATTTTTAGTATTTACAATCAAAATCAAGTCTAACATAGAGTTCAATATTGAATGTTACATTCCCTTTAGATACATAAATTATTTATTTTACGATATTATCAAACTAAAATGTATACAATATCTGTTAAACATAGTAAAATATTCAAAATTACTAGTAGAATATTATTTAATATCCATTACTCATGTTAAGCATTAAACCTCAGACCTCAATATTTCTTCGCAATAGGTTACTTGAATACACGAACACAATTTGCGTACATTTTGTATTAAACAAAGGTATTATAAGGTAATCAAGTTTCCTAATATAAACGTCACGACTTTTCCTCCCTAACTAGGTAAGCAGGGATGCACAATTGTACATATACGATGTAACATCCATCGTTTACCTGTTGAGGTTGTAGTTCTCATATGATATCGGGAGAGTCGTAACTTATCATATTATACTGGGCTCTGTGCTATAACTGAGTCTTCTGTTTTTTTGGCAAATCTTATTGAAAAGTGGAAAATGTCCTGAAATCTCTTGGAATCCCACCAGCGACTGGCCTTGCATGGCAGTCGTACTTACGACTAATAAAAAAACTAAATAAATCTCACAATCTATGTCTGAGTCGAAGCTGGTACTGATGCAGTATTAAACCCTCAAATATAAAGGTTTAAAATCACCTGCTACTTTCATCTCTGCACTGTTTAAAGATTGACTGAGAGACAATGCCTAAGGCATTAAGTCAACCTGTACACACTTGTTGTACCTATTAAGTTGAAATAAATAAATAAAATAAACCAACAGGCAAAGATAAGTCTCAATTTCTATGAAACAAAGATCTCAAAATGCAATGTTTCCTAACAAATAAGTGCTAAAATAACAGATCAGAATAAGGAAAATGTTTTTGTTTCATGTCGTTATCTCACGGAAGGATGCTGCCTATAAAAACTAAATACGAAGATAATCTGTTGAGGTGACGTAAGGAAACGTAAGAAAATTAAACATTAGATAAAGCGTTTCCGTTTAGCTTGATAATGTTCTAAGAAAAATTGTTTTTAGTTATATGGCCATGGGTTCAATATTGACATTTTAAATTGTATCTAATATTCTTATTATTACATAAGTCAAAGTCAAAGTCAAAAACATTTATTCCAATTAGACCAGGAAGGCACTTTTGAACGTCGGCAATAGAAATTTAAAAGTGTAGCTATTTGCTCATTCCAAGGTGTAGATTCTTATGGAGAAGAACGAGCAAGAAACTCCATAGGTTACTCTTTAATATCATATATAATTCCATATTCCAATTCAATACGCAAGGTGGACAGACGACCTGATTAAGGTTGCAGGGAGCCCCTGGATGCAGGTCGCTGCAAACCAGCTTATCTGGAAGTCATTTGGGAAAGCCTATGTTCAGTAGTAGACGTCCTATGATTGATATGATGGTGAAGCTTATTAGGTGCTGTAAAAGTTTCCCAAACTTAACATTTTTCATTAACATTTTTTTTAAGGGTGGAAAATCATCGAATTACTGATCCCGCTTGAATGAATGTCTAACTGCCCGTATTCAGAGACATTTATTGATTACTTAAACTATTCCTTAGAAACGATTTTGTTCCGAAAACAATTGCTAAGGACTGGGTTATGTAGCCATTAAATGACTCTGAGTACGGCGGTAAGAAATTTACTTGCTATAAGTACCTCTAAGTTTGTAAAATACTATGAAGATGAAAACTAAATCAACAGGTAAGTGTCCCATAGCCGGATAAATGTCACTTCTGATACACAGTTGGAATGACAAGATTGATTAACATTCATTGACGGATTCAGGGATTACGGAGATTGGGGAAGAGGAGTAATTAATTCGTAAGTCGCTCTCCCGCACTTAACTTTGTTAATTTTTTAGTAATAAAACATCATCGTGAAATATTAGTATTAGATACCACCCTATATTGTGAAACTGATTAAAACCCTATATATCTACTGTTTCAGGGAAAAACACGCATGACGTCAGTCTTACGTAATATTACTTGAATGCCTGATGTACTGTGTCATTGCTATGTAGTATACATAGCTATATACATACATAGTGTTGTAGACACGAAAGATTTCGGATGTAACTCACATAGCGGAAATATCTTTTAAGCCTAAATACATAAACTATGTAAATAATGGTTTTAGCTATCTACTATTAATACTTCAAAAAGGAGATTGCAAAAAACATGCTAATGTCCAAGTACTCAAACGCCTCTCAATATTAAGTCGAACTTAACCGCTTGAATGCGATGAGAATGAGACAAAATAGAAAATACATTGTGTCTCGCGTGGATCCACGTTTAGACAAACGATGGGTTAAGTATAGTTTTCTGTCACTACAGTTATTTTGTAAAATGACAGAGATGGCACGATATTTGAGTACAATTTAAAATCGTGTATCCTTTCAGTATTCAGCGAAGTCTAGCCTACACGAAAATCAGAATGCCGTTTCATTCTCGACTTGTACTGAAGTTGATTGTATTAGATGACTGGCAAATATTTATCACTGTCATGATTATTCTCACAAACTTTTTGTTTGTGCGGTCATTGCGCCAGTAGGATGAGCACAACATTTTTCATTCATAAATCTAAACTAACTAATCTAACTAACTCTAACTCATACAAGCTATTATTATGTGCATGGCACAATAAATCAATGTATTTGTATAGTTTTATTAATAGAAAAAACTAAAAGGTTGAAGCAAGCACATCACACATTTCTAACAAATGCAAGTCCTGTAAAGCAGGATTATCAGTGAATTCAAAGGATTTTAAGTGTCAGAGAGCCATGCTTCGGCATGAATGGGCCGGTTTGACCGGAGTGATACCACGGCCTTACAGAAAACCGACGTGAAACAACACTTTTGCGTTGTGTTTCGTCGTGTGAGTGAGGTTACCGGAAGCCCAATTACCTCCCCAATCTCCCTAATCTCCGAATCTCAACAATCCTCAAATTCATTACCCATAATGCCTCCGATGTTCCAGGTGTCCATGGGCTTATCCCATAAAAATAACAAATACAAAAGTGGGAATCGAACGTCTCAATAATACTTTATCCAATGCAACTTGACTA